GGTTTTCCCCCCCCCCCCCCCCAACGGAAAACGGTCATAACGGGGACCAATCAACGCTTACGGAAGGTTCCTAACACCGCCCCCCCCCCCGCTCCCCCGGCAAGCAAGTCGCTCTCTCACCCGCGTACGTCGGACGGGGCGTACGGCTCGCCGTTCCTTCCGCGCACGAAGCGGTCCCCGTAGACCAGGATGGGCCGCCGCAGCGCGTTGGCGAGGACGAAGGCGTGGAACGAGGAGAGGTAGGCGGACGGCGTCTTGGCGGCCTGTACCAGCATGTGCCACTCCGCAATGACCTGCGGGTTGATTCGTTGTTGTTGTTGTTGTTGTACAACAGCTTTTAGAACAACAGCTTCGGTCAGGGTTTTCACAGAATTCGCATGGCTCGTCGATCGCATATGTGCGTACCCGTTACCGTCTTAGAAAAAGCCAAAATCGCCGGAATTTTCGTGGCCTGGATGCTTGGGATAACCGGAAGAAGGGAGTGTGTAGGGTATACTCAGGCCTACTGACCTGAGTGTATGCAGCGTGGCTTCCTGGCTTGGGTGCAAGCAGCGTGGCTTACTGACCTGAGTGTATGCAGCGCGGTTTACCGACCCTTTTATATGCAGGGTGGCTTTTACTGACCTGATCCTCTTCCATCTGGAAGGAGGCGCTGTCCCCCGCCGCCGCGTCCGCCCGCTGCTGCCCCTCCCGCCAGACATGAAACAGCGTCTTCTCGCTAGGCTTGTCGAGGAGAACCTCCACCACCAGTGACCGCAACACCTAACGTCCACAGCAACAACAACACAACACGATCGCATCCGCGAAAGACATCAAACAAAGACATCGCACCAAGCAGGAAGGAGAGCAGGAACAAGACCAAGAGATGAAGTAAAGAACATAGAACACAGCAATCGCCAACGACGAACAGCAGGGACACGACCAAGAACAAACAACACAACGTGATCGCAACCGCTCATCAAACGCAGACATCACGCCAACCACAAATAGCAGGTACATGACCAAGAACAAACAACACTATATGATCACAGCCGCCAAGAACATCAAACGTAGACATCGCCAACGACGAACAGCAGGGGCACTACCAACAACAACAACAACAACAACAACACACCACAGCACGATCGCAACCACGGAAAACATAAGACATCACCAACCACAAACGGCACAAACACGACCAAGGACAACAACACAACGCGAGCACAGTCGCGAAAAACATCAAACACGTATGGAGCCGTTCGAACCCCACCCCAAGACTGACTTTTACAGAAGCCGAAATCAAGCCATTAGACTAGATTCCGGCTGAGTCTAATGGTTTGACTTCGCCTGTTATAGACGTCACCAACGACAAACAGCAGGAACAAGACCAAGAACAGCAGCGACGAACCCTCCGTAACACAGCAGCTAGTGTGTTCATTCCACGCGAACAATCTTTCAACGAATAGTCTACTAACTCTCCTTCAGCCCTTCGTATGGGTTCGTGGGCCCCCCAATACCCCCCCCAAAACAATCTCATACTTCCTCACCACTATCCATACCTTCCCCTCCTGGCGGTTTGGGTTCGACCGCTCCAAACACTGCCAAGAACATTGCACA